CTAAGTGATTTAAAATAATAAATCATTACCTACTTCAGAAGGCCACAGATGTCCACATCGATACTCATAGACCACATGCTATATCAATGACCTTTTTTCTATATTTAATACACCTTGAAGCCTTCAGTTGTAATCGAGAATGAAATGAATTTATATAATGAGCATTGATAAACCTTACCACCTTTGTGTTACCTAAAAGTTACCCAAAAGAGCTATCATGAGCTTTACTTTCCGACTAATCCTTCGAAATATACAGCGGTATACGACTACATACTCCAACATCAAACTGTCTTTCTTTATCGCAGCATTCGAAGCCGTTGTGCACAGCAGCAGTGTTTCAGTCACAATCAAACAGTCTGAAGGACTGACGGGCACGTTCAGGGCGTCTGCTGTTCGAAACGATGGCAGTCGAAGGAGTTGTATACTCACTTCGGTGGACAACGAACTCTCCTGTGAAATTGGACACCTTCAGCCTTACTCCAAATACACAGTTGTCGTAGAAAGCTGCCCGCAAGGTGGTGTTTGTTCCACTTACGGCGATAATTACAATATCCTTACAATGCCCGGCGGTAAGACTGGATTACTTTAACGATGTTTTTGTTGTGGTATCCCACTCTGAATGTTTTCCTTCATATATATATAATTAAACAATCTGTTCGAAAATAAGCGGTATTGAATTCTGCCTGCTGGTGTAAGACAAAATGCAAAAGGATACCTTTAGTGAATACTAATAAAATAAATCTCTCTAACCGAAGGAAAAGAAATATGCAAGCATTGACGCTGTTGCTGCTTATTGTCTTAGATTTGCGAATAAGCATAATCTTACAAAATAAAATATGAAGCTGTTTGAAATGGACGTTCTCAAATTACATCTGTGTTAGAGTGACTCTGTGGATAAAATACTATTAAGGTTTTTACCTCAGATCAATTACAGACTGGAAAGTAAGCCTAGTTTAATTTATATTAGCATTCTATTTGCATAGAAAGCTGCTGTTTGGACTTCTAGTCGATGCTGAATGGTCGTCCAATTAGTTAAGGAGTAAGGGCATCTCATTCCATAAAAGGTATCACGTGGAATACCAGTTTTTATTTGTATATACGTTGGTTAAGTCTATGCACTGTAGAAAA